ATTATGACTGTGATTTTTACTGATAGTGCTGTAAGGCCCAAGCTGAGAACAGGGCCCTACGAGGCAGCAGGCAGAGAGTCATGGGGGTGGTAATAGCCCCTGACCTAAAATAGAACTGTACCTCCATGTTTGTGTGCCAGCTGCACAGCTCATGATCTTCCTATATGTTTCTGTGTCACAGAGGTCTTCCTGAATCATCAGTACTTCTGAATTACTTGTTGAGATGGCCACATCCCACCCTGAGCAAGGGTCCTCTCTGTTACCTGCAGCTAGCAAAGCAACTATATTATGCTGCTTTGTGCTACATGTACATGATGGAGACTTTGTTTTGCAGCTATTTAAAAGGCATATTCCCTGTCTCAGATGTAGTTCAGGTTGTTCCCATGTCCTCTGGCACAGCATTTCCTTGTTACCTGTCAGGATACTTCTGTGACACCCGTGGAGCATTCCTGTGTCTTGTGTCGAAGGTTTACATTGAACACGAGCTGTGTGCTCTCCTTTGGCAGCCCCTTGGGAGGAGAGATGTTTCCTGTCACATGCACAAGGCCAGTCCTGATCACTCTGATAGCAACTGTGTGCTCTTGTAAGGGATGCAGTGACTGAGGCCATGGTTCATCTCTCAAGCTGTTTGTTGAGATGCTTCTGATTTAAGAGAAACGTGTCCCTGTGTCACAGTACCACAGAGGTTCTCTCGGCAGTAAAAGGGAACTGGGAAAGGTGGTGATGGTACCTAATAGCACTAGTAGCACATTTACTTAGGTGGCATCCCCAAACTCATGCTGCAGCTGAAGCCTTGCTTCACCACAGCAACCCTCCAACAGCTGCTTTCTTGGCAAATCCCCGTGCCTTAAGCTTTTACTCCTGACACTATTCTTCATCAGTTGAAGTGGCTGTTGCCCATCTCAGTGGCATTCTTCATGGGATCTGTCTGTCCCAAACCAAATTTTCCATGTGAGCCCCCTTCACTTTCATCCACAGCCGTTTGATGGACACCATCTCTTCCCCAAAGCCTTCTCTGCTCCTTACTGCCAGCTTTGCTCAAATCCACTCAGTTGTCACCTCCCATATTTTGTGTATTATGATATTTGAGGATTCTCCTGACAGTCCAGCTGACAGTCATATGCTGAGATGGGAACTGCAATTTTTATCTAAAACCAGATATAAGTGTTTGTCCCTTGCAGTTTCAGGGAAAGAATGAAAATGCATCCTCTATAGGTTTTGACACCAGAAAACAAACACAGGGGATTAACAATCCTTTGGTTTTGAAGAAAATATAATGATCCATGACTGCAAACGTCTCAGTGTTAGCAACACAAGACATATAAATCTGTCTTTCAGGATCATCTGTGTGAAACTTTTTCTGGTTCCTAAGTAAAATCCATATGCACAGCTCATATTATTGCTCTGTGAAGTTTGGGATTTGTGTACCCTATCATGATGAAGTCCAATACTACTGCAAGCTGTTCAGATAAGGTCCATTGTGAGGTAGCCTACAGACCTCTCTCAAAAGTTTCTCTTCTTTTGTAGATTTTAAAGCCCAGGCCACAGCAGAGCCCTCCCTACCCATGCAGAGCTCTCATCTAAAGCATTGCCTTTCTCCTTTAAACTTTTCCACCTCTCCCTATCATTCCCTATCTGTTTGCTTGCTTTGATCATTCTGATTTCTTATCTAACCCTGTTCCTTCCACTTCTCCTCCCTTCATCCCTTCCTTTTAGTTCCACTGACTACACAGGTCTTTTCTTATCAGCTGGTCCTGAGTTTCCCAAATACACATACACACTTACGCACACACACATACGCTGACACAAATAAATAAATAAATAGAAAGGTCAGTGAGCAGAGCAGCAATAACCCCTAAAACAGTACTATCAGAGGGACATGATTGATCAATTGAATTCCATAGCGGCTCAAAAATGTGGGATTAAGTAGTGTATTATACGCACAATGAGTTGAGGCATGATGTTCATTTCAAGTTCATTTCGCCAGCCCTCTGCCACCAGATCAGGCAATCAATAGGGGCAGCAGATATCATATATCACCTCTCTCCGTGCTGGGGAGAGAGCACCATAATCTCTCGCAAATTTAGAGTGACAGATTTGTCAAGAACTGAAGGGCCCCTGAATAAATGAAGGAAAAGAGACTCCTACAGCGGCTTGGGAAAACTGTGGTTTCAGCTTCTTCACACAAAGGCATGGCCTGTGCACACCCAGGAGACACACGTGCACAGGGCTTTGCAAGCAGACAGGAGCGGCAAACACATGTGCATGCACGCACTAACCTGTAAACCACTCAGGACAATGCACTGCGGTAAAATCTGGTTTAATGATGATCAAGAGAAGTTTGATTGGATAAGCGAGCACCCATCCTCTCACACCAAACACCAAGCATGTTGTAGAGCTGCCATTCTGGAAAATCAAATATAGCCTAAACCAGTCACCATGGACAAACGGCTGCTCAGGCATGTACGGTGTTGCAGAACCTAAAGAATACAAGAACAATGATCTACTGCAGAAATACCCACGTGTATTAGCATCGTGGTGTGCACAGTCATGCACACTGACTGACACACATGGAAAAATCCTCAAAGACAAAGAGCTTCACAGGCTGCAGACAGGTTGCAATAAGGGCTGATTCAGAAACACTTTTTTTTTCCCCAAGCCTGGACCCAGTTGTTCTGTGCCAGCTTTCTGCAGGGACGACCAGAGGGAAGGTCCTACTGGAACTGGGAACATGAACCTTGAGAACTACCCTAGTGCTTCCGAAAGCCACCCCCTGCAGTAACAACCCAGTCCATCTAAAACTGCACTGACACACACAGTGTGCAGTCCACCAAGCCTGGTCTTTACTTTGTTTTCTCTTAGTTGAATCTGTCATGAACTCCAGCTTTCAGGAACTTGAGAATTTTCCCTCATGCAAATATGCCTGAGGAGGGGACAAAATGCCAGGGATCAGTGCCAGTGAGCAGCTCTGCTCTGGTCAGTGGAAAAGAAAAAGAGAAAAGGCTGTTTGAGGGAAGGCTGCTGGCTGGGACAAATCAATATGTAATATTTGCTATGGTCTTGCGAGTGGTACTGTACTATGTTACTGTATATAATGTACTATTGATTATATCATATCATATAATCACCTATAAACGGATATATCTCATAGCCAGAAGGCAGCAGGCTCAGTTATAACTCTAGGCCACCAGTCAGACATTACTGTGCCAGGAAAATACCCCTTGGCACCATCCACAAGCTAAAAGCCAAAGTGGCAGAGTGGCATGGTTCTGGCTGTTGCACAGTGAATGCCACTCCAGGCTCCTGGGAGCGTCATGTGCCCATGAGCATCTCACAATTGCATGAAGGAAGGAAAAGATCTATACAGGTCCCTCAACTACTGTCATGACAGACAGCAAGTTTCTGAGATTCACAGACTGAAAGCCACCAAGGAAGGCTGAAGTATGAGGAATAATAGTGGAAAACCGGGCAGGTAATCGCAGCGACAGAGTGAGAACCTGATCTTAGGTTAGAAAGGGTGATAAGACAGTCAGACTTGTGTCTGATGAAGCACAGTAGGTAGAGATTCAGCATGGAGGGTATAGAGGTATATCAGCATGGATGAGACAGGGGATTATAACCAGTCTCACCAAAGTTAGGCTGAGAGGTGACAGCAGAAAGATACTCAGCACAGTTGGAGAAGATTATAATGAGCAGACTTGCCTCAGATGAGATGAGGGATTATGACAAAGGAAGATACACTTCAGCTGGGACAGGAGGTTATAACAGACAGACTCACCTTGGATGTGACAGATGCTAATAGCAGAAGACTCACTCATTTCAGATAAAAAGAGGTTATAACTGAGACAAATGCACCTCATTTGAGGTGGGGGATAACAGGGAAAAAAACCCCCAACAAAACCAGGTGGGTGATAAGATGGTTTATCACAGGGAAAGATTCACTTTGGATGGGGCAGGGCATTTATAATGGACTCACCTGGGAGGGGTTAAGTGGGCTGTAAGAGACATGGTGTGGCACAATAGAGACAGACACCTGGAACATGACAGGAAGCACTGCACTAAGATTGGACTGTGTCAGAGAGCTATTGCAGGGACAGAGATGCAAGGCTTCTACCAGAAAAAGGCTTTTTTCCTAGTAAGGACAAAGGAACACCAGGAAGGCCAATTCTTACTGAATAGGACTAGATTTTGTAATACAATAATTCAGTTTGGATAGGAAGGGGGACTGACAAAGATTCAATCTCATTTTGGAGGGAATTTTATAACAGAGATATGGGTTGTGATAAATCACGAGCTACACACAGAAGAATGGGGTAGAGATTATAACAGAAACCAACATATGCTGATGGGACAGACACTCCACAGAGGGAGACTTGTCTGGTGAAATATGGAGTCAGAAACAGGATCATTTGTGTTACCTGAGGGGGATGAGAGAATGAGATGATCCCCTTATACCCTAGGTGCCCATTACCTGGGCTATGAGACAAGATACAACTTCGATTGGGACTGGGGAGCTACAATAGAGACTGACTCCCTTCCAAGCCGTAAGCCCTCTTTCAATTCCAGGCTTCCTCAGCCCTCTCCAGTATAGGTCCATCCTCAGCTCTTTGGTTTCTCTGTGAGCTGCCTCTCCAGTAGCCTTCTAGCGATGCTAATCGCTGTGCTTTGCTCCCATTTTATGCTCAGCAATGGAGATTTGGCAATTTTTAACACAGAAAATCACTGGAACCGAAACTCATCTCTGAGCTGAGCTCCATTCTCCACAGCCTCACTCATCCTGGGCAGCAGAGTCCCACAGAGCCCACAGGAGCAGGCCGGCTGCCCCAGCAGACAGAAGGGGGCTTCCCTCTGGTCCCTGCAGCCTCCTCTTCCCACAGGAGTGGCACAGCTCCCTGGGTGGAGGTGGAGGGCCCGCTCTTTCCCACTCTGTCCTTGTCCTGCCTCCCTTTCTGATCCAAGCCAGGGTGGTGCTAACTCCCTGTTTTCTCTGTGCCCTGCAGATGTATCCGAGGGCTCAGTTCCCAACGGAGATTCCCAGAGCAGCGTGGACAGTTTGCGGAAGCACCTTCGAGGCGACACTTTCACCCAGCAGCAGCTGGAAGCTTTAGATCGAGTTTTTGAACGTCCTTCTTACCCTGACGTCTTTCAAACATCAGAACACATCAAATCTGAGCAGGTGAGGGCCTAGCCTGGTACGGGCACCGACAGGCACCCATAGGATGATGGCAGGGAGATTCCCTCACTGAAATCACTCTCTTCCTCTTCACCCCTTGTTCTCACCCTAACCTGTAATTGCACATACACCACATTTACATTTTACAGCACCTCCTAGTTCTAAATATGTCCCTGTGCTGATGCATGTGTATATATGAGCTCTACCTTTCCTTGTGAACTTGCCATATGCGTGCACACTGTGTTCTCCCTAAATCCCCGTGTCTGCCTTTCCCTCTGCACACACACCTGGAGGTGTGCAGGCGTGTTCTTGCCATGACCATGCAAACACTGCCGTGCATGTTCACCAGCACACAGCCCTGCTTGGAAACTCCTGCACTCTCATATCACATTGGGGACCAGTGAGCCACAGGGTTGGGCTTTAATGGAGCATTTTCCTTTATGACCCAGAGCTGAGACTGATCCCATCTCCAACCTAGTTTTCTGCACTTCTGCAGCTCTGCCCCCCTTTCCCTTACTCCCCCGCTCTCCTTGGCCTTTTATCCCAAAAGCTGTTTGTCTTAATAAAATGAAAATCAAAAGTCTTTTTAAACCGCCCCAAGCCATAAACCAACAAAGGAAGAGAAGGAGAGGCTGGCTGTGGACTCCCTTCATCCCAGAGTCCCTGGGTTTATTACAATGAATAACCTTTATTTACTTTCATTAGACTATTAAGCACCAGCACAGTCATTTTTCCCCCTGAAACTCTGAGCAGGGCCCATAAAGCAAATCCGAAGCCTAATTGAGTTCATTTTAATTTCTCTCCGATCACAGCGAATTACTCTGGTGATAAATCAGGGGGCAGGCTCACCCCCAGTAGAAGGCCTAATTTGCAGCTAATTACAAAACTGATTTCTACAGGAAGATCAATACAAGAAGGAATTGGAAATGACTAGGCAGTCCTAGCCAAGCAGGGACAGGGGCGGGGAGGGGGCAGTGTGTGTGGAGCCCGCTGGAGGAGGGGGAGATGTGGGGAGGGTGCTGGGGAAGCACATGGAAAAAAAAGGAGCAGAAAGAGCAGAAAATCAGATTTAATTTAACGTAATATTAATCAGAGCAACTTTTCCTGCTGTTTTGTAGCCTTCCTGGTCTCCCCAGCTCCTGCGTCTGGTCCGGAGGCTGCCACAATAAAAAGGCAATTACCAGAGCCTTTCGGACAGGACACCCTTTCAGATTCAATGGCTCTCCCCCTCCCACCCTTCTGTTAGCCATGTGGCTCCCCCCTCCCCAATTTCATACCCCAATGCACAGAGTGACAGAGGCAGGGGATGAGGCTTCTTTGTTTGTTTTTAAAGAGCTAGGACCTAGGTAGCAATGGAGGGGAGGCAGAGGACTCTGCAGACAGGCTGGCTACAGCAGGCCAACACTGGCTGCTTCCTACAGCCTGCCTGCCCCAGTCATGTCACTGCAGTCCTTGTCACCAGGGCAAACACCTCCCGGCTCAGCCAAGAGGAGGGGACATGGATTTCCCCCTTCTTCTCCCCTGGACTGGCACAGGCAGCCATCTCCACAGCACTGAATGAGGGCTTGGTCATCCCACACATAACAAGCAGGATCCCTCACTCCTGTTCCCCTTCACAGCAGCACACTGACGGGTGGGATAGTTTTCATCCCAAGAGCCCCTCACAACCCTCTTGTCACTTCGTCTTCTCTGTTTCCTCCTCCTCCTCCTCTTCCATCTGTGCAGGGGTTTGCATCTCTCCTCTTCCTCCCCCCCATCTGTACACCCTTCCCATTCTCCCGGTGCATCAATAGCGAGCTGTCTTTCTCCTCTCTTCCCCAGGGTAATGAGTACTCCCTCCCAGCTCTGACCCCTGGTCTCGATGAAGTCAAATCAAGTCTATCCACCTCTGCTAACCCAGACCTGGGGACAAATGTGTCAGGACCCCAGACGTACCCTGTGGTGACCGGTAAGCTGCCTGACCAAACAGCAGAACCAAGCTTTTTAATTTCCCTCATCACCATTAGCTTCTGCTTTTTCTGCTAATGCAAGATATCCCTCTGTGGCAAACATGGAAATAGACAGAAAGACTGTGGAGGACATAAGGGCTAAAGAGAAGCTTGACATTCAGAGTATTGGCAGTTGCGGGTACACCGAGAGGTGTGAACCAAAGGCAGGCAAACCCAGGCACGCATCGGGAACTTGCGTACCCAGATGGGGCTTAGGGATGGATGTTGGTGGAGGACAGATATGTCCAAATAAGAACTGTGAATTTTTCCTTTGTGTCTGAGAACAAGAGGGTCGTGGCTTACCCGTGATCTGAGCTTGGTTTTGGAAGAAATAATAACTTAAGTTTTATTCAGCACTGGCATTTGGAAGGGGCATTTGCAAACTAAATACTGAGGTCTGCTGAATGGTGACTGCTAAACTTCCTCTTCCTCAAGCCCATGAGTCTCTCATCCCCCATATACCTCAGGGGATGTTATATGTAAGGGGCATACAAATTTCTTTTGCCGAGAGAAGCCATTCACAGCCTTCCCTCACATGTGGGGACATTAAACTCAGGTGTGCCTGGAAGAGCAGTAAATAAGAGTAAGTGCATGACAGCAGAAGAATTGGGATACACAGAAGGAGAAAGCAATTTCTGCAGCAGCTGCTCTTTTCTCATGTCACGTGCAAGGCCTGGGCAGCACAGGGCTGTCCTGAGGCCACGAGCATGCCAACCTAGTACAGGTGTTAGACTGGCTGCCCTGTACATGTTTACAGCTCTGAGGAGACATTCTGGTGCCACAGACCTTCTTCTGAGACTTTAGTTGCCACTGGTCCCTGCTCACCCAGCTACCATAGACTGCACATCTCTTCCTGGCTAGCTAAAGCAGTTGGTGAAGCCTGAGTGACTTGCTCCTCCTTTGTATATCCCCCATTTCCTACAGCTGCTTTGGCTCCTTTGGAAAACTCATGGTGTAAGCTGACAAATAACTCATGACAGAGAGGTGAAAGTCCTGTAAGCAAGGGAAGGAGCTGTTGCTTCTTGGCCAAAAAGCTGTTCTCTGATGGCAAAGAATCAAGAGAACTAGAGTCTGTATCTCAACATTTTCTTGCAGAAGCCCCAGCTAATAGCTCCTCTGGTCAAAGCAGTTCATGGCCAAGGCAGGCAGTCATTCATAGTTCAACAAACACTTAACAAAGGCATATTGTTGCATGCAACTTCTGGCTACCACGAACTTTGGGACTGAGCATCAGTAACAGTTACCCCAAATACAGAGAAGATCCAGTGTGTGGTCTGCAAAATATCATGGAGAATCACGGGAAGGTGAACTGCATATTTAGGGAGTGTCCAGAAAATGTGACATCCCCAGGCTTTCATGGCTTTTCCTGCTATCAGACTTGATCCAGGATCCTTGTAGCCATGTGGTTTCTTAGCCAACCAGAAAAATATGACTCAGCTGTGGCAAAATTGTTCCACCTTCCCTTATATTTGCATTTGCATATGCAAGACAAAACTCAGCTGGCACCCATCTACTATTTAGTAGATCTCCATCTCTTATAGGAAATGCTTTATGGTCTATGGAGGGCAAAGCCAGTAGGAGAGCAGTACTGTCCTTCCTTCATGGCAGGAAGATCCCCGTAGCTGGATATGAAGGTGAGGCACCTAAAATCAGTTTAAGATTTAGAGGGGCATTAAAATAATTCTTTTTAGTCCTTCTGCCTAAGTGAAGATGGTGCATTCTAGCCTGTTAATAACAGGAGCAGAATTCCTGAAGGCCTGGGACACCACACAAGCTTTGGACAAGACTCTCACATGGGGACAGCAGGAGACAGATCGGGCCTCACAGAAGACGCTGTGGGCTGAGACAGAAAATCTTCTTCATGTCCCCCCACCCTGTGCCTTTCCCACTCTGTTTCCTGCAACACTCCTAGCTGAGCCCAAGAACATCCCCATCTGATCCATCTGGATCCAAGACTGAGAAAAGTTCATTTCAGACCCAGCTTGACATTCCCAGGTGGCAACTTAGCACTAACATCTCAATCTGTATGAGACATTTCAATCAGTGCAGAGTAACAAAAGCAGAACTATTAGCACTGGGAGCTGTTCACTGGTGGTAATGATGGGGAAACTCAGAAACTGGAAATGGAGAGGGGAAAAAAAACCCTCAACACCATGGAAGGCAGAAGGGGAAGAGGGGCAGAAATTTTTTCCTCTACACTTAGGCCAGGATCCAATGTTTGGATTAATGGTGCCATTACCCAAGAAAGGACTTCAGATAATGTGCATTCTTAAAATGTTTTTGCTGGCAATTAAATGGTTGCAGTTATTGATCTTCATCGATCTGATATCTTCAATTTGCATAATCTATTAAAGATGAATGATTCATTATATGTTTGCTGTGGGGCTGGGCAATGCTTTCAGGACCAGAGAGCTGAGGAACTCAGTGCTGCCTTCTGATCTACCCCAGGCAGGAAGGAAGAGGCTGGGAGCAGGGAGATTTCTTTGCTGTCACCCAGATCCCTCTCCCAAGAAGGGATATTGGAGCAATAGCTAGTACTGAACTGCTGACTGCCTGTTTTGCTGCTACAGTATCATCTTTGAAATGCCTCTTTGTTCTTCTCCCAGAGCAGTCTGTGAGCCCAGGTGGTATCTGAAACAAATGTGAAATAAGTCTACACATGCAGAGTACAAACTCCCATGTGCAGTCACTTCAGGATGCAAATTTATCCCAGTCTATAAGAAAGTCTTCCCAGCTCAGACTTCCCAGACAGGAAAAAGCATCACTAGCTCTTTCCAAACTAAAGCTGTCTGGCACTGGATTCTTGCCCTCTGTGAAGCCTTCAGAGAAAGTCCCTCCTTAAAATCTTGGAATGCAGTGAGATAGCTAAGTACAGATGTTGCTGAAGTCCCTTGATCTGTCTGTGAGCTCCCTAGAACTGATGAGCTAGAAATGCTGTGAAACAGGCAGCCACCTCCCCAACGTGAGGAAGGTCTTCCTCAAAGTCCTGGCATCTATTCAACACACAGCTTAGCACCACACTTACATACAGCACCGCCTTGCCCAGTGCTGCCAATATCAAATACTCCCTTTCAGATGATTATTCTAACACACCTTAGATGGTCCATTTATTACTCACACCTTCTAAAGCAAGTAAACAAAAACATTTGTTTATTATGGAGCAGACAGGTCATCCTTATTTCTCCCTATTAAGTGTCTGCGAAGAATTCCCATGAACAAGCTGACACTTAGGGGCTAGCTGGGCACTAGGCTAGGAAACATGCTCTCTCTGTGCTTCATACAGAACAACGTACAAGTTTTCAACTTCCTTGTGAAGTATCAAAGAGACAAAGCTCTTAAGAGCTACCTGAGAGCACCACCTGACTTCTTCCTTCACACAAAGCCCATTAGACCAGCTACATCTTGCCTTGATGTTGCACGGCCATTATAGATAGACTGGTGTAGATCCTTGACAGTTTCTTGGACAGCATATTTGGACACCAATGAGATTTCCTAGAAGCAAAAACTGAAGCCTGAACATTCCAAGATAAGGCAAGCACATGCAGTTGAACACCAAGACAAGAACTCTGTTGTTCAGAGATGCTCTTCTTCAATTATTTCTATTGAAGGTGAACAGCCCAGGCCCAAATATAAACCTACACAGGGCTAAGTAAATACAAAAAACTTCAATAGTTTTCTTTTTACTCAGCAGTTTCCACAGATCTTTGAGTCTGGAAGGTACTCAGTAGCTAACACCCAAGAGGTGAGAGGAGGAGAACCTTAAGATTTTGACACTGGCAACAGGAGTCCTCTAAAGGCACAAGGTTGTTCACAGAAGCCTTGAATCCTTTGAGAACAAAGGTTAAGTTCCTCCTATAAGCACCATCAGAAGTCACATATTTTGGAATAGGAGTGCATGGAAGAAGTGAGGTGTCTTCAAAACAGGTTCTGAGTTCCAGGGATTTAGATTAAAAGTTTGGCAGCAGAGTTCCAACTCAATTATCTAGCCCAAAAGCTGCTCAACAGAGAGCAACTATGGGAAATAAAACACAATGGACTTTTAATGTATGGTTTCAAACTTGCTTATTAACAGACTACTAAACAGGAGGATTTACCTACTAGATGGATCGTAAAATTACAAAAACATAAAGAAAAACTTCCCTTAATTGAATCCTAGCACTTTTAACTAAACAGACCTTGTTTGCCAGCCCACTACAGCCAGTGAGATCTACAAAGAGAAGGTAAAAGACAAGCCCAAGAAAAACAGTGCAGACAAAGAACTTCAGGAACTTCCACCATTGACTGAAATGGGAGTAGGTATCCCCTTCTCCTCCTGTGAGGAGGTTTCTGAGTGCTTCTGTTCTATGATTAGCACCTATTAACAAGAATAGGTTACTTTTAAAATCATCACCACCCACCAAAGCAGCTACCATGTCCTGTATAGAAAATATTTCTTCCCTTCTGGGAAACAAATTTTTCGCTAAAGCAATGAATATCATTCAGGGTGAGAAGTCTTGATGACAACTCACAATGCATCAAAAAAAGGCACCAACAAAGCACAAACCCCATCAATCTCACTTTCCTCCAGACCTCCCCTCTCTGGCATAGGGTCAGATTTTTTTCAGTTTAGTTTTTTTAATACATACATGAATGTACGCAAAAAAAAAAACCAAAAAACCTCAGAATTACTGACATAAAGGCTCCTTTATGTATGAAAGACATACAAAAATAGTACTTAATCAGCATCTGATTTCTATGAAAGTTGTGATGCTAAGGAAGGGGAAATCACTGGCTCCAAACCTGAATTCAAAGTTTTTCTGAAATGATAAACAACCTTTGGAGAACTCCAGCCTCCTGCAAGGTGAAAAGATATTATTTCCTTTGTTTCAGCTTAGTGAATGAACAAAGAGAATTTTGTTCAGTTCAATAACCAGGTCATTCAAAAGTAAGAAACAAACTAGGATTTGAAAAAGCAGGAGCA